TTTTTGACAGTTGCTATGTAGTGTTCAGACTGTTTAAACTTACTATGTAGCCAGTACAGCATTGAACTTGTAAAAATCCTCCTGACTCAGCTTCATGAGTGCTAGGATTGCAGGGGATCATAGACACACACCATCATACCTGGCTTTGATTTCCTTTTTTTGGACCTCGGTTTTCTTTTTAAAATGAAGTCAAAATATTTGCAAGTATTTTAGCTGCAGGGACCCACAGGAAGAGAGCTGCCTAAGTGGGTAAGGTTTAGGGCTAGCTCCTAGCATTCTTCCTGAAGCCCACATTCCCATACATGTTCCCTGGGGCTTGAGTGCCAACAGCAGGTTTTTTGGAGAAAGGAGTGGTACACACTAGTGTTGTTGGAAGTCTGCAGCAAACTCCAAGAAGCAGCTCATTTGTGGGTGTGGTGGTGGTACAGGACCCGCACTCTTCTAACAGGGACAGTAGCTCTTCTGACAATTTGGACAGTGAAAGTGGAACAGAATATTGTAACTTTCCAATAAATTAAGCCAGACATGTTTTTTTTTTTCTTTGAGGTACTAGGGACCAAACCTAGTGCCTGTCACTATGTAAGAGTTTTACTGCTGACTTACAGCCCCAGCATTTTTTAAAAAAACCTATTTTGAGATAAGATCTCAATAAGTTGCTCTGACTGGGCTTGAACTTGAGATTCTCGTGCTTTAACCTCCAGCCATCATACCTAGCCAAAACTCATGACTTTTCTATAAAATATACAACTAAAAATGTTGGCAACTCATTAAAAATGTAAAAAAAAAACCTTCTTATGGACAAATTAGAATTATTACATCTATGATAAGCTATAAAATGCAAATTCTTCAGGAGGTAAGATTATTGCCTAATCTGTTACCAGTCAATTTACTTTGATAAAAATTCTTTCTGATCGAAAAGTAGGAATGCTGTAAATACTTCTTGCTGTTATCTGCTGCCTGACACAGGCCAAGGATTACGACTGCATATTATTCAGACAATGAACACATACTGACTGTTATTGTTAATCACAGGTCAATTGATTAGGAGCTGCCTACCAGATTAGTAATATACACTTCTGGGTGTGTCTGTGTGGTTATGGGGTATGACTTTGGGGATGTCCTTTCCTCTCTGGTGCTTTTTCCAATCATCTCCATTTCCTGGCCACCATGAACCAGGCAAGCAGCTTTACTCCATCACACTCTTCTACCATGATTCTTCTGTCTGGGAGCCAGCTGACCATGGACTGAACTTTCTGAAACAGTGAACCACATAAACCTCTTCCCCTTTAAGATGTCTATTTCAGGCATTTTGTCCTGGTAAAGCTAATAAAATATATTTATGATAATCTTTTATTTTCTTTATTTCAGACAGGACCTCATCATGCTGCCCAGCTTTCTACCTTAGAAAGCTTTGTTCCATTTTTTGTGGTGATATGAATTAAACTCAGGGTCTTGTGCTTGCTAGCTAACAAGTGCTCAACCACTGAGCTACATTTCTAGACCTCTTTATGATATTTTGCTTATTCTGTTTTTTAAACTGACAAAGGATACCACAAGCATTATGACAACTAAAATTTTATTTAATGAAATCAATGAAATTTGTGTCTTTGATTTCCCCTTACAGTATATATATTTGATTACATAGAGATGGAAATTTTAGGTTACTTAAAATTAGTATTTCTTAAAATCTTTCTAAATATAGTGGTTCACTCTATTTCATCTTTTCTACTTTCAGGAAGATGTTTCCATCCCTCAACATCTCATCTTTCTGTGGAAACCCTGGAACATGAGCAAATCCTTAGCAATGACAGGAACCCTGCACAAAGAAGCAGCCCATAGCAAAATAAGACTGACATATGTCTTGGGGTTGCGGGGGTGATGACAACTGTTGGAGTATTTACATCAATGTTATTAGAACATCTGTAACTGCTACCATTTAATACCTACCAAATAGTATTCAATCTGTTCAGTTAGTGGGCTATCTGTACCCATATCTCTAATCCTCAGGATTCTAAGGAGTTATTAAATTAGTATATTTATTCTCCTTTTACAAATACAGAAACTCAGGTTCAGTGGAAAAAAAAAACTTACTCAGATTACCAAGGCTACCATGACAGGAACCAACATGAAATCCAGGGCTGTATGATCATACCCTGAGATTTCCATCTGTAGTCTGACCTCCATTCAATGACTACTTATTAACAATGTCCATCTTTCTCACCCTGGTTTAGGGTTAGGAATGCACTAATGAGTACACCATCCTTGACATTATATATCAATAAACACATAATAAAGATTTATTTTTCAAACAAAGTAGCTGGCCAGGGAGGTGGACAATAACTATTCTGTAACCATGGTTGGAAAAGGGTTCCCAGAGCACTGCCTAATATTTGCAGGAGTGCTTATCCTCTAATCCATGTCACTGATGAGTCCATAAAGAATGGGAGAAGAGTCTGGCTAAGAAAGAAACACCTTAAAAAAATGGGAGAGCAACTGCATGGCATGCTTTCAGAAAATAGAAAGAAGCTATGTCTTCCATCCTCTCCAGTTCAAGGTATGGGATTACAGGAAGTGGGGCTTGTGTGTGTGCTGGAGAAGAAAACACTGATGTGTTCCATGGATAGATAAGGGCTACCAGGGAGCATTCTGGCAGCCAGATGAAGGATGGGTCACAGGACTCTTAGTTAACTATTTTATTTTCAGCAAAACATCCCCTCTGGAGAGACCACTGTTGTGTGCACAGAGAATAACTAACATGCTGCCGTCTCTAAGGGCAACTTATTTGGTGCGAAATCATATCACAGCAAGCCACACTGCCCGTGGCCCTCCCCAGTATGCAGCATATCTCTTCCTAAGAAATAAAGATGGATTCGGTGTCAGCAGAAATCACAAATTTATTAACTCTTAAATATATCAATCAGTCATTTACCATTATGGCAAGAAATATATACAGTGTTCCATGGTAAACTGCAGTGTTTTAAAATGATAAAGATTATATATGTGTAATTTAGTCATGATGCAGAGAACAAATCACAATTTCCTCACATCTGAATGTGGAAGACAAACTTGATCTACAGTAATACTTCAACACCACATGCTAAGTTAAAAGTGTAAAAAAACCCACTCTAGACCTATTTTTTAATACATGTATGCCACGTATAGCTGCTTCACAAAAAAGTAAAATTAAAAAGGAAAAAAATGAGGCCATTACTTTTTTCACAGATCTCATTGGCAGGTTAACATGGCTCAATACACTTACTATATATATTTATTTTAAATATATATTGTTTTTGTGTAATAATTATCAGAAAAGCTTCAACCCATCTACCGTACATCCACTAGCGACAATATCTAAGGTTATTAGTAATCAACACAGAAAGGGGAAATGCGAGAAAAGAGAGAGGGTTGTTTTCTTTTTGATTTTTGCTTCTGTTTTTAAAAATAGGCTTCTGAAAACTGCAAGTAACTATGATTAAAGTAATGTCAATGGAGATTCCATGCACTAACAGCATTTCAGGGAAGAGAAAGAGCCTTTTAGGAAGTGTGGCAACAGAGGAGAAATGAGAAGCATAAAGGAAACTGGCACATTGCCCTTGTGTTTTAAACTGGAAATCCCTAACTCCTTGGAGGAAGATGATACTGTGACTCAAGAGGGAAGCTAAAAACAGGCCAAGTAACAAAGATGAAGTTCAAAATACTATGACAATGGAAAACATTCATGAGCTCTCTAATTTTAGCAAAGGAGTTGGTGACAAGGCATGAGGGGCCCTTGTAGCTCCTGAGGTGGAAACAGTGAATTTGTGCAGCAATCCCAGTGGCTCTCAACATGGTATACCCTGGAAACAGTCCCAGTGGATGAGGCTTGTTAGTTACAGTAGGGACATCCTTGCTGTTAGTGAAAGTTCCAAGGACTCAAATACCCACAACAAAGTTAGGACACCTACGTCCCAAAGGGAATTTAAGCAAAATTGAAAAACCTTGTTCTAAAATCCTCTTGACCATTTTTGCAGGCCCTGAAATGATCAAACATGCTAGTTTAGCTCCCTCGAAAACACCTTGATTTTTATTTTATCTTCATTCAGCAAATTGTGTTTTTATTCTTTTCTTACACCCTACCTACTCCCCCCCAAAAAAATATAAAGAAAAATAAACACTGAAAAATCAAAAGAAAAATAAAAAAGGAAGCAAACAAAAAGAACAAAGAAATAAGATAAAATTAAGAAAACAGAAAAGATTTGAGAAAGGAAAAAGAAAATCATTTCAGCAAATTCACCAAAACAGTGTGAATGTGTGTGAAAGTGATCAAATGTGTAAATTATATGAGTTCTTCCAGTTTACACAGTTTGACTAAAAACAATATGGCTTTCAATGGTAGCAAATCAGTCAAATCTTGTTCCTACTTTCATATGTGATATTTTTGTCTACACATCAACCCACTTTCATTGTGCATCAGCAAAGCTTTCAGTGAAAACCACCCATTGTAACCAGGGTCACACCAGGAAACTGAAGGTGTATTTTTTAACCTTAAAACAAAAAACAAGCCACAACCAAAAATTTATTTGTCTCTTACAAATTGCCACTCAGAGAACAATGATTTTAAGTCTGTTAGATCTTGGCATAAACATAGAACCTTGAATATGCTGTACCTGGAACATTGTGGAATTCCTTTTTCTGACTGCCCCTCTAGTTTGCCAACAGTCACTGAAGTGTGCATTGAGCATCGTCACTGAGGAAGTGTAAACAATATACAAGGAATAGAGGACAAGATGATGCATTGCATATGCAACATGTGGAGGACCTTCACAACTTCATGCACTCAAACATGCATGAAGAGGAGGAGAGGATGGCTGAGGGAATCACCTGGGTGCCTTGGGAACAGAGAATGAAGAAGTGGGACTGTTGATGATTAGCTGGAAGGAGAAAAAAGAGGAAGAAATAAGTTATAGTACCTACGAAGATGTCACCAGGCTGCTTTGCCACAGATGTGACGAGGCTATGATTTTACAGCTCAGCTAAACATTAGGCAAAAGTACATATAAGAAGTCTTTGTGATCATTACAAAATAAAATATACACGGTTAAGTGACAACAATATTAAAATAGGAAATCAGTGTTATCTTTTGTTCTCACAAAGCCAATCTAAAAGTCAAGATACAGGGTCCCAGGCAGCAGTTACACTATTGAATCTAAGGAAACATTTTGAGCAATCATATTTATTAGACAAATTTAATAGGTTAATATTATCATTTGGTTGAATGAGACTCAAAGTTCAAGTTCATCCTTAGCTTTTCTATTACTCAGATTCCTTAAAAAATCAAAACTTGAAATCAGTGCAACAAGGAATATAGTATAAAAGTGGAGAAAACATAATTATTCTTTATTCTATGCATTTTTGAAACAGGGTCTCCCTATATGGATCAGGTTGACATCATACTTGTTTTGATCATCCTGCCTCAGCCTCCCGATTACTGGTATTACAAGCATGCTTTACTACAATGGACTACAGAAAATATGATTACTCTTATTTAATCCTTTCTAACAGCTGAAAGCACTGGTTTTAAAAGCTTTGCTAGGGGTTAGTCTTTGAGTAGGAAAATATTCAAAATAGCACCACACTTGGATCCTAATCCAAGTTTAAGAAACAAATCTTTAAAAATAACATGGTCATGGATTTAATCACAGTCAACTTTTAGTTATCTGCCAGAATCACCTACTTTGTCTGCTTTAAATTTCAGCTTTACTTCTTCCTGTGGCCTGCCCTTATGTCAACTACCATTACCCACAGTCAGGCATGGCCAATTCATTTACATATTAGTCATGGCCAAATGGTTACAGGAATTGCAACTTCCAGAAAAACAGTCAGAAACCAAAGGATTCTGAAGCTTAATACAATATTAGTCTGGATAATTGAGAGTTGTCTGAGTCATGTCAGGCATATGCAATGCTTGATATGAGAACTCTAGATTTAAAATGACACAATCCAAACACTGAAAAGAGGACAAACATTTAAAATAAAGGTTATGCTGTAAAATAGAGCTGATCATTAAACTTAGGAGCTCATGCAAACTACTATGGATTTGTAAAGATCTTGTGTGTATTTCATGGAAAAATTTAGAGCAAAGATCCTCAAAGGGAAGGAAACAGCCATGTAGCTTCTAGTCACCTGCTCCAGTCACCAGTGTCATGGAGCAGGCTGCCACTTACAAGACCCACATATGAATCATTTTCAGGCCTTCAATGTTTTGTTATAAAGAGATGCCTCCTGAGAAATTCTCTTTCACTTTTGGAATATAGGGTGGTCTATTTAGAGAAGACCCAGTTAACCCCCATGGCATAAAAGGAAGTTTTCTTAAATGAGCTCTACCTCATTGACAGTTGAAAGAATTGCAGAACAATATAATGTCATGGCACTGGAGGAAGGTAATCCCTTCTACAGTAACTGGGAATTGTACCTCTAATGGGGTAAAAAAACACAAATGCACAAAAACTAGTGTCTTCATCTCCTATATGTAAAGTGTGCATTCAAACTGTTACTAGCAGTTTGCTACATTATTGATTTCACTCTACACTAAAATTGCATATAAATTTTGAATTTCTGTTCCCATAATACCAGTAATCAGTTGCTTTCTAAACAAGAATATATGTTCCTTGAAGGCAACATCTTCTGTCTCACACAGGTGGAACATAGGGCAATGTATAGTATTATTGGCTTAATTATTGACTGGAAGTCGAGCATGACATTTTAGGTAGAGTGGTGAGGTGAGAGCACATAACACCACCTGAAATTAGCTTTTAAATGTCATTTTAAAATTTTTTCTAAATGTTAGTAACTGAGGCCAGGGAGGTTTTCTATGAAGTACAGTGCCCAATAGCCCATAGGCAATTTTGGAAACTTGGCTGTATGCTTTTTCCCTACAATCCCTTTCTCTGCCTGCTGTAAAAATTAAATCTTAAGTACTTTACTTACTACACAATCCTATGACATACAGCAGTTTCTAGTTCCCACCATCTAAAACTAGTATGTACTGCTTTATGGCAAGTTTCAATCCACAATGGCTGTGCTGACTGATCTTCCCAGGGAACTGCAGATTTCCATTTTTTTTTCTTTTACCAGGGATCAAACTCAGGTCCTTGTACTTGTGAGGCAGGCAGCAGAACCACTGAGCTAAATCCCCAGCCAGCAGATTTCCTATGGAGGCCTTGGTTCCAACCACCAGTGCTGAATAACATACACCAATCTTTTAACAACTGTAGAAGGAGCTGACCATGACTATACTGACAAAAAATAGGATAGCCTGGGAATATTTACTTGATGGGTACGGTGGGTGACCCCGAGCGATGAAAATGAACATTCTGCCACTTTCCATCCCGGCGGTGCCACACACGGGTCTCTTCTGATTGCATGGTCTTTGGCATCCCACTACCATCCATGTACTGTGTGAGCCTAATGTATGCTATGCAGGCAGCATCATCTCCTACCAGATGGACATGGGGGTTCAGAATGATGGTGTGGATTGGTTTACTGCTTTTGGACAAAGCTGAAAGAGAACCATATGAAAATACAAAATTAGTTTCTATGTAAAGTAAACCAAAACCAGTAATAACTTCAGTAGCAATCAATGAATGTGATGCTACTCATTTACTCCTTAGTGAACTTAAGGTCTAATTATTTGCATTAATCTAGTGCTGGACACTGTACAAAGTATAAAAATAAGAGAATAAAATCAGATTATTTTTAAAATTTCTTTTACAGGTACTTTTTATGGTACTCTAGGAATTTAGTTGATTGGGGGAAGAGCTAGAGATTTGTTTATTCATAAAGAGAAATGGTTAGAAGTAGAAGTTGTAATATAAACAGAAATGGAGAATGTCTGGCCCAGGTGCATGAAGAAGTTTCTGGATTCTCATGGGATAACTTGCTAAGGCAGCTGACAGGATAGCTTGGGGGGTGGTGCTGGGTTTTGTTGGCTGGTATAGGGCATGGGATAAAGGAAATATATCAGGTATCAATCATGGAGATCAACATCTCCAAGAAAGACTGGCCTATAGCATAAATGTATTTCTGTATCTCATCTGTGTTTCTTCCAGGCCACAGAGTCTGTTTCATGATATCTTTGCATTAGTGATCATTTACTATAAATCAGAATTTGGTGTTCCCCATGCACCCTGGTTTTGACTTTGTATCTTTTTTTTTACTAAGTAGTCTTCATTGGGCTGTAGGTATTGGTGTTTAAAAAGTGGCTACTCATTCTATATATTAATGGATCACAAGATTAGAGGATTTAGTATACATTACTTGTTGATGAAGTTTCTCTTTTAGGTCACTGACACAGGTTGTAGTATTCTAGCTATTATCCAAACATGCTTTACACTCTCAGAAAGCAGCTATTCAAATTAATCAGAATATAATTATAGTCACATAGAAAGACTATCCCATTATGAAGAATATGTATTTTTGGAGCATAGTGAAGTGCTATGCTGAAAAATGTTAAATATTAAAATAATATGAATGGGTTAATAAGTGCTTTTACTAGAGATGAGATGGTGTGGCTCGAGCGTTGCTTGGAGGAGACATTCTGAGATGCTGTCAGTCATCTCAGATGATGTGGAACACTGGAATATGACATTTACTGAAGCTTTGTTAAAATGATTTTATTGCATAATTATTTGTGTTTGTTTGCAAAAGCCTAGTGTATAGATGGAAAAGTAATGTATTCAATACATCTTAATTTCAAAACCCATGCTAAGACAATACTGTCAACACCTATTACTGCAAGTGAGTTTAATATCCTAATTATTTCTCCCATCCTCCACAATTCAGTAAGATCTCACTGAAAAGAAAAATCTGAATTCATTTCACTCATCATGTAAATATAGCACCTAATTCCATTAGGGGTAAGGAAAAAAGAAGATGGATAAAGGGAATCCCTGATTTACACTGTTCCTCAGGATCTGCAGGAGTTTTTCAGAAGCTTCTCTGAAATGTGGCTGTTTCCTCTGACCACTTTTAGTGGTCAATCTGCAATTAAATTTGCAATTTTAATACACATTTACCTGATTACTTATCTTTGTTTATATATTTTGAAAATAAGTACCAAATATGTTTCACGGTGCTATTCTATTCTGAACAGAGTATGCTGCAATTCTTTTGTCTTTTTACATACTAACCATTTTATAAAACTTGAAATAATACATTTTTTGTAACATTATATAGCTCATGTTATACAGTCACTGGGATTTAATAGATATATTTAAGAAACACTATTTTCTTTTCTGGGATTTTTTTTTTTTTGAAGTAGGAATTGAACCCAGTATTTTACCACTGAACAATGTCCCCAGCCCCCTTTAAAAAAATAAAACATATTTGAGCCACGGTCTTGCTAATTTGCTAAACTGCCAAGGCTCAGTGATAATCTTTCTGCCTGAGTCTCCTAGACACTGGGATTATAGGAACATACTACCCCACCTGGCTCAACTTAACTCCTTATGCAAAGGTAAATATTTTTCAGGACAACAGAACTTCCCTGTCTCATTATCTAGCAATGCATCTATGTATGTATGTGTCTATCTAATATCTATATACCTATACATATAATTTTCAACTCCAAACAAAAAATGTTATGGTGCAAAATGTTGGATGAGAGAAAAAATTTTCATTGTAGAAAAAGGCCAAAGAACCTGCAAATTATGGAGAAATTAAAAGGGAAGTTGAAAAAGGTGTGTTATTGAATTCAGAAACCAATGTACCATTTTCAAAGTAGAATCGGTGAAAGTCCATCCCTTCCACTAAGTTACCCAAAGCTTCAGGTTCAAAGGCAGTAAGGCCTGGGTCACAGATTTTCCTGTAGGAGAAAGAATAATGAAAATAATGAGTCAATAAATGTAGTATATTTTGTTTTCTGTGTAAACATGCTTATGAGTCAGTGAAGAAAGAGCCTCTAAAATAAAGAGCCTCTAAAATATAAACTTTCAATTGTAGACCTTAGTTGGTAAGGTGGATTGAGCAGCAGACTCCAAAAAGACATTTTACAGAGAACTCCAAGAGGGACAAACTAATGTAACTAACTGGTGCAAGCCTGAGAGTCTCACTTTTAAAGTTTCCATTTTTTCTGAGGTGAATTCTCCAGTTTTATACCTCTTGACTTAAATTTATAATTTTTAAAACATTTTCTAAGTCCCAATTCAAGTCTAAGACACACTCCACGTCTATCATTCTAGAATTGAATACCTTTGGAATAATTTTTAATGGATTATATCTTATACAGTCACATAAAAAACCTGTATTATAATTTCCTTAAAGAAGGATATCATGTCCTATACTTTTTGGAAATAACCACAAGATTTAATTGAGCTTGTATCTAATGTTTACTTTACTTTTCAAAGAAAAGTGATAAGCAGTTCAAATAATAATTTCCCTTTTAATTCTCAAAATAGAAATCAGCAAGGATATATAAAATTTTAAATTTGGAGAAAGCTAATGGTATTTCTTTGAGGAAATGCACAAGTCAATTCTATTCAATAAAGAGCTATTACACATATACATGTAGCAGGTATTCTTTGAAGCAAGCAATTATGACATAACAATTAATAGCAGAATAGGAGTTAACTCAAAATGCTAAAAAACTGCATTATCTATAGGCAATAAATAGCAAAGATTTAAGAGAAAAAGATGATTTGAGTTTGGCTCCTAAGATGAAGAAGAGTTTAGCATGTGTGTAAAAGGTGAGAGTTTTCCAGGTGTGTGAAAGGCAGTAGCGGGATAGCATACAATGTGTTGTGCTGTTAAGAAAGCACAAAGTATATTTGTGGACTGATGTTTAGTTGTTTGATGTGTTGAGCACTGGGTTATATATGCAAGCTTCATAAAAGCACCAAGGAGGATCATTCCTTTTGGTCAATGATGATCAAGATAGGCTTCATACGGAAGGTGGCAAAATCTGGATTTTTTAGAACTAGAGGGAGTTTGCAGGGTAGATGAAAGAGTACAGCTCAAAAGATTTTGACCTATTTTCCCAAAAGGGCAATTAGTGGGTGGGCCCTATGTAATATCAGGGAAATCCCTGTTTTAGGATGCGGACTTTCTTAGCTATAGAACTGAAAACCAGATTTCAAAAGTCTAATTTAACAATGGTTCTTCAAAGTGCAAGACTATTCACGGAATATGGAACTGAAGATCTCCATAGAGTGCTTTTAGGGTAGGAAATCATAGTACATATCTCATTTGGTAAGGGAGGCCTTAAAGGCAGAGGTGAGGACAGGATTATAAACTTCACTTCATACTGCTTGTTGGACAGATATTTTTAAGCTAAAGGCATATATATCCTTTTGGATATATACATCTCTATATATCTACACACATATACTTTCTATTATCTTTTATTTTGTTCTTAATTTTTAAATTTGGTTTTATCATATAAGAGAAAGCCTATAATATTTAAACTGTGTCTGACTTATTTTACTTAATGTTATTGTCTCAAGGTATATCCATTTTCCTATAAATGATTCAAATTTATAGGTTTCTATGGCAGAGTAGTATTCCACTGTGCATAAATACCACATTTTATTTAACAATTCATCTGATAATGGACACAACTGTGGTGCCGTCAACATGGGTATGCATAGATTACTGTAATACAACATGTTTAGCTCTTTTGGGAAGGTATATAGAAGGGAAATAAGAGAATCAGATATTGGCTTTAATCTAGTCCCCACATTTAGTTACACTCTTCCATATTTTGTATTTGGCTGTTGCTATTGTTTGATTGTTTGGATATTGAATGTTCCCTAGGGGATATGGTCCCCTGTCTGTGGTGCTACTAAAAGATGATGAAATCTTTAAGACCTGGGGCTGGTGGATGAGAGTTAGGTCATTGGATGCGTGACCCTAAAGAGGGTATGGGGGCCCTGGTCTTTGTTTTGCCTCCTGGCCACTACAAGGTGAGCAGGCTTCCTCCATCACAAGCTCACACCATTATATATTTTGCTGCCACAGCCACTAAGCAATGAAGTCAAGGGTTGTGATTACATTTGAAAGAGTAAGCCAATAAAAAAGATGTGGTTTTTCTATAAAATGGAATACTACTCAGCCATAAAGAATGAGAAATTAGATTCATTCATTGGAAAATGGATACATATTGAGGATATATTCCTAAGTGAAATAAATAAGTCACATATGTGTAAATAGCAAATAGTTTCTCTGGTGTGAAAAACTATAATAGTACATAAGATCCCAATGATATAATTGACAATGTGAAATAGGAAGAAAAGTGCTAAAGGTGTAGGGAAAGTGGGAAGGGTAGGGGAAAGGTAATAAGGGAAAAGGAAAATTATGAGAAAATGGAAATAAAGTATTTGTAAATGGGGAGGGTTGGGGGGAAGGGAGGTCCAGGACAAGGGGAAAAAATGAGAACCAAGACCTGTCATGTAAAGGTACAAGATCCCAATGATGAATGTAACTGTACTGTATACCTAAAATGTACCAATAAACTCAATGAGAAAAAAAAGAAACAGCCAAAGTAAAGCTTTCCCTGTTTTTAAATTGATATTTCAGGCATTTTGTTATGGCAATGGAAACTCAATAAATCTATCTATTTGTAACTAATGGAAAAGGTAATACCTGCTTATATAAAATTTGAAAAGAATAGAAAAGAAGCAGGGTGCCAGAGATTTAGCTCAGTGGTGCTGCCACCTGCCTTGCAAGTGCAAGGAGCTGAGAGTGATTCCTGGTACAAAAATAAATAAATAAATAAATGAATAAGAAAAGAAGCCAGGAAAATATCCACACAGAATTTTACCATTCAGAGGAAATGTCATCTTAAAAATGTTTAGCACAATTTTTCCACTTTTAATGTATCTTTTTATATAGTTGGAATAATTATGTACATAAACTTATTCTGGCTTGATAACACAGGGACACACATACTTTGTTCATTAAACTTTCACACTTTATTTAAATTGAATGATTTTTACTTGTGCAAAGTAATTCCTTTACACACCTATGACTCAGTAATACACTTTATATTAACCATTAGAAGCCCTTCTTCAACTACAATTCTCCTTAAGAGACCAATGCATAGAAGAGATGCTGATAAAGTTGAGATGCATTTCAGAAGAGAGAGGAGACACCCTTCTTTCTGTTCCTGCCCCTCTGCAGAACTACAAAGGAAACTACTTTTTAACCTCAGATGCATATTTTAAAAAATAATATCTTTTTCTGTTTTCTGTGTCTTTTCACACATGGATTGCTTTCCCTACAGTATGCTTCCCTCACATGAACCTGAGGGTGTTTACAAAGAAATTTAATTTAGAAAGAAATCATCAATGCTTGAGTAGGAAGTTCGGCTAGTGCTAATCTTAAACATACTGATTTTCATTTATGTAAAACTATTGTTGATACCTCAAATTTGCTGTTAAATATACATGAATCAGATACACTGAAGAACCCATTCATGTAGAAAAACATTTGCCCTGTATATGAAAGTGAAATGTGAGTGCCTATACTCACGTGTAAGCTTCAAAGTCCCTGTTGTTGATTGCTTCAATCAGTTGTTCAGTGACTTTGATAATCTCTTGCTTTCGTGCTAAAGGAAAAAATACAGCATTGGGTGAGAATAAAAGATTATAGCCATATAAAATATGACTTTAATAATATTGCTATTTTCCTTAGGCAGAGTGTTAGCATTTAAAATACTGATTTTTTTTTTCCTCCACAATCCTGCTGCTCAAACTGCAAAGAACAACAGCATCTACTTGTCCCATGAGCCCTAGATATCAGATTCTTGGGCATCTTAGCCCAGACTTGCAGAATCAGACTCTGCATTTGAACAGGGACCCTGGGTACAACCCACTTTTGGAAGTCTAAGCAAAGTGGAAGTCTACACTTTATTGATTAGAAAACAAGTCACCTGGAAGATCAAGTATCTTAGTACCAGGTATTTTAGTATCTTTATCACTTTGACTTTCTGAACACTTCCATTCACCAGTAACAAACTGCATTATTTAAAATACTTAAGCTTAGCATGGTGATATATAACTGCAATCCCAGCACTCTAAGATGCCAGCGCAAAAGGATCACAAATTTGAGCCTTACTCAGGCAACTTAGTAAGACCTTGTCTCAAAATAAAAGTAATAAAAAGGGCTGAGGATACAGTTTGGCCATTAGTAGTGCACAAAGCAAAACAAAGAAAAAAAGTCTCTCAAAAGTGCCACTCTAAGAATGTATTACAAAGGAAGATGACAACAGTATGACAGCCATCAGACTCAAGCTAAATCTGTAAAATGGAAAAGAAACATAGGAACCAATGTTGTGCATGTGGGCAGACAAAGAGATTGGGCCCCACCCTCACTCCATATGGCTGCCAACCCACTACCAAACATGATTTGTTTCTATTCCTAGCCCACACACAAATTATTAATGGTTGGTTTAGCATAAATTTAACTTGTTCAGTAAATTATTTTCTAATTTCATCTGCTTCAAATACTCTTTCCCTGTTTCAAATGCCAACAGATACCTCAGCATCTCCTTAAATCACATTCTTTCTTTCTTTTTTCAGCTTTAATTGAGTTTATTGGTACGTTTTAGGGATACAGTAGAGTTACATTCATTGTTGGGATCTTGTACACAAGTAACAGACTCACTGAGAGAGAAATGAGGGAAACAATTCCTTTCACTATAGCATCCCAAAAAATGAAGTATCTAGGAATCAGTCTAACAAAAGAAGCAAAAGACCTCTACTCTGAAAACTACAGCACTCTGAAAAAAGAGATTGAAGAGGATATAAGAAAATGGAAAGATGTCCCCTGTTCCTAGGTAGCAAGAATCAACATAGTGAAAATGGCCATATTACCAAAACTGATATGCAGATTCAATGCAATGCCAATTGAAATTCCAACAGTATATTGCACAGAACTTGAAAAAAGAATCCAAAAATTCATTTGGAACCAGAAGAGACCTAAAATAGCCAAAGCCATCCTAGGCAACAGAAACATGGCAGTGGGTATAAGAATTGCCAATTTGGAACTATACTACAAAGCCACTGTGATAAAAACAGCATGGTACTGGCAAAGAAACATACCTGAGGATCAGTGGAACTGATTGGAAAATACAAAAATAACTCCAGATGTACTCAACTACCTCATCTTTGACAAAGGAGCTGACCATCTGCACTGGAGGCAAGATGGTCTCTTTAATAAATGGTGCTGGAAAAACTGGATTTTAAATTGCCAAAGAGTAAAACTAGACACTTATATTTCACCATGTCCTAAACTAAAATCCAAATAGATTAAAGATCAGAATATTAAAAAAGAGACACAAATTTGCTGGAAGACAAGTTAAGCAGAACGCTTGAAGACATAGGCATAGGAAAAGACTTCATGAACAAATCCTCAGTAGTACGGGTACTAGTAGCAAGACTCAACAACTGGGAACTCATCTTATTAAAAAAGCTTCTGCACTACAAAAGAAACCATTAACAGAACTAAAAGGCAACCTACAATGTGGGAAAAAATTTTTACCAGCTGCTCCTCAGACAAAGGTCTATGATCCAGAATGTATAAAGAACTCAAAAAAATCAGCCCCCCCGAAGTATAAGGACCTGATTAAAAAATGGGCATCTGAAATCAACAGACATTTCTCAGACAAAGAAGGAAAAGCAGCAAGTAAACACATGAAAAAATGTTCCACATCACTGGTCATTTGAGAGCTACAAATGAAAATAACACTGAGAGTCCACCTCACACCAGAAAGAATGGCTGCTATCAAGAAATCAACCAATAACAAATGTTGGTGGGGTTGTGGGGAGAAAGGAACCCTTCTCCTTTGTTGGTGGGAGTGCAGACTGGTGCAACCACTATGGAAATCAATATAGAGATACCTCAAAGAGCTGGGACTAGAGGTTCCATTTGACCCAGCCATCCCTCTGCTGGGTATCTTTCCAAAATAATTAAAAGGATCATATCACAGTGATGTATGTGCACACATGTTTATAGCGGCATAGTTAGTAATAGCTAAAACTTGGAAACAGCCCCTTTGCCCATCAGTTGGAGACTGGATAAGAAGATGTGATTTTTCTATAAAATGGAATACTATTCAGCCATAAAGAATGAGAAATTAGATTCATTCATAGGAAAGTGGATACATGTTGAGAATATACTCCTAAGTGAAATAAGTAAGTCACACATGTATAAATACCAAATAGTTTCTCTGGTGTCAAAAACTGTAACAGTATATAAGATCCTAATGAAATAATTGACAATATGAAATAGGAAGAAATGTGCTAAAGGTGTAGGAAAAATGGGAAGGGCAGAGCAAAGGAAATAGGGAAAAGAAAAAAATATGAGAAAATGAAAAATTGGAAATAAAGTGTTTGTAAATATGGTGGGTAGGAGTGGGTGAAGGGAGGGTGGGGACAAGGGGAAAAAATGAGAACCAAGACCTGTCATGTAAAGGTATAAGATCCCAATGATGAATTTAACTGTATTGTTTACCTAAATTGTATCAATAACTCAATGAGAGTAACAAATAAAAAAGAAGAAGATGGCCTCAATGTGCATCCATTTTCCTATGAATGACTCTAGTTTCTCATTCTTTATGGCTGAGTATTACTCCATTTTATAGAAAAACCACATTATTTTTTGTTTCAAATTGTTCTCACTCAAGTTCCCAAGTTTGATCTCCAGTACCAAAAAATTTTGTTCTTAAACTTTGTAAGGTATATAATAATATGTTTTACTTGTTAAATTAAAATTTCTCCTTGAGTGAAGGATGTGCTATTTCTTTGTGTCCCTCAAAAAGTATTGTCTAATGTCCTTAATAAAATAGATGGTTAGTAAGTTTGTGAATTTAACCAGTTAGACTAATGATAGAACTTTGGTGGATTTCAGAACACTTATGACAGTCCTCAATGAAATAGTTTAAGAATTAAATTTTACTGGGCTTTAAGAACATTGTAACATTCCTTTAAAGTCACTAAAAATAGACAGGGCAGTGTCACAAAAAATTACCCCAATTGGTGCCCTTTTTTCTTTATTGGTACATTTTTGGTATATAATAGTTACTTTCATCATTGGGATCTTGCACCTTCACATGATATATCTTGGTTCTTATTTTTTTCCCCATTCCCCTGACCTCCCTTCACCTCCTCCACCCTTCCTCATGTACAAAGACTTTGTTTCCATTTTTTTCCTTTTCTCTTATTTTTTTCTGTAATGGGCAGTGAGACTACTATTCCTCATGGAAACGGTGACTCTTGGTTTTAATTCTTTATTTGAAGATCAGATTAACATCTGGCTGAGTGAGGAGCACCACACCCATCTCCCATGAGAAAACTCTGAGATCTGTTAGGGCTGGAATAACCCTCCCCCTCAGGTGTGTAGAGATCTGACCTTAGATAAACTGTCTCAAAAACCTCTAAAGTTGTGACTCCATTCTCCTCAGCCCCTAAAAGATGCAATCCAAAAACTAACACATTGCTGGGTGTGGTGGCGCACACCTGTAATCCCAGCACTAGGGAGGCTGAGACAAGAGGATCCCTGTGAGTTTGAGACCAGCCTGGGCTACATAGTGAGTTCCAGGTCAGTCTCAACTACATAGTGAGACCCTGTCTCAAAAAACAAACAAAAACTAACACGTGGCCAATAACTATGTGCCAGATATCCCGACTCCACCCTGGCTCCACCCCTGCCTTACCCTATATAAGTCTGTACATTTCCTCAATAAAACGGAAGAGTTCCAGAAACCTCCCTGGAGTCTGTGTGGTGATTCTGCACCTTGCCCTCCCAGTCCAGGCCCCCTGAACCCTGTTCTGTGAGCAGGCTTGCAGATGAAAACAATGTTTATTGATTAAAGAAAAAATATGGATTTTCTGTGACTGTTCTCCACTGAGCAGATTTTAATTACAAACTTTAAAATTCGCATTCACTTTCATATCCCTTAAACATAATTTGACTCAATTGAGTCTGGAAGTATATCACAGTTATATAGGACATTATATAATAATAGTAATATATAAGTAATAAAGTAATAGCAATAAACTATCTTATAAAATGTGATTATTAAATTTGCCCATAAAATACCCATTAATAATGTAAATTTACAACTCATTAGATAGGCTGGATTCATATTTAGTTACCTTTTATTTATACAAATTAACATAATGCACAGCTTAACTCCACACATATCTATAACATTTAGTGCCCTTGTTTATTTGACTAATGAATATCACTAATATATCAATCCTGAAAATGCACTGACAGAGTAAGAGCAGGGGGAAATCTGATGGCACATTCTGGCTCAGGTGATTCATCTGTCTATGGTTTCCCCAGTCTGAAGCTTTGGCACCAGCTTCTGACAGCTAACCCATTCCCCAAATATAAAGGACATCAGAGAGGGAGTTCATAAAAATATGACCAGCAAAGTTCCCTGCTTATTTGAAATCCTAAATTAAAACATTTTATTGTGTTATACAGCTGATTGGAAAATGGCTGTTTAAAAAGTGTCAATCTTAAAAAAAAAAATAGAAAAAAAATGATCCAACATTAGGAGGTTGGAGCAGGAGGCCTTTTGTAAGAGTTGCAGGTCAG